ATATTCAATTAAGGAACTCTTTGCCTAAAGGACAGGACCACCTGGATGTCCTATAAAGCAAGTCTGCAGGCAGATGTGTAGACGTGCGCATGATGTCATTAAGATGTTCAACCTCAATGTGCTCTGGTTTGCAGCACTCCTTACCATTCTCAATTGCATGAAAATGGAATGCCTATGATGGGTTTAATCGTTTAAATACATATCTAGTATATATATATATATATATATGTATATATGTATATGTATATAATCTTTATGAACATCTAATAGGTAGCTGGACTGCCTGAGTAATTTTAAATGCTACCAGATTTGTTAAGATCTTAAAAATTAACTCCAGTAGCAAAGCTGAACTATGTATTAAGCCAGACAGTGTAGAATAACTTGGAACTCAGCTGTAGAATAATTTGGAACTGAGCTATCACCCTTTGTACCATAATGAAACTGATATACTCCAGCTATAGGTTCCCAGCTGGGGGCCTCAGAAAAACAGAAAGAGGACAAAATATGGGGGGCGGAAGGGGGGAATCCCAGTGGTTTTCCATTGAGCACACTGAACATTTCCCACAAACACTTTTGCTTTGTGACACTCTAAGCATTTTTCCTAGTAGAGGATTTCAGCTGCTGGATTCCCCTAAAGGTACTTTAATACCTGTGCTGGGAGGAGAACTGTCACTTCATACAGAAATTAAATACATAAATTAATAGATGCCTCTTCGGAAAATCTTTCAAACAGGGAGTCCAGCTGCTTCGGCCACTCTGCAGTCAATAGGTCAAGGCCCTGGGTAATGTATAGGTGGAGGAGAGGAGGGATGAAAATTGTCCAAGAGTCAGCAGAGATCAACAAATGTGTCCGAGATGTAACCACTTGGGCCAATATTTGCCTTTGTCAGGGAAAGCCTGAGAGGGCTGTGCTGGGGACTGGTCAAAAACAAGAGGCAAATGAAACGAGGCCAGTCCCGCCTTCCTTTTTGCTCTCTGTCAAGGGCTTGTTTGGCTGGCCAGTTCAGGTGGAGGAAGAGAAGGAGGAGCAACCAGCCAGAATTGAAGGTTGGTCCCCAATCACATGGAGGCATTCTGCCCTCCACCTACTCTCTTAAAAAAACAGAAGAGTGTTACAGAGAATGCCTTTGATATGAGTGAGTTGGAAAGACTCTTCAAGTGTTTGACAAAAATGATCAATT